GTACAGTACAGAAGTAGATTATGTGATTTTTTTTAGAACAGTTTACCATGAGTTTTCTGAAAACAATCCAGTTGAGATGCTGATGAGTTAAGGTTCCTAAAGTCATAGCATATCTTCGTACCATCACCACCTATACGCTGAAACGTATTGGCATTGCAATACCGAACGAAAGAACAGCAATTTTGTTTGAGGTTCCTATGTAAGTTTTGAAATTTGACTGTCAAACTTGCTTCGACAGATGTGTCTATAAAATAATTTTTAATAATTCATCAATCACAATAAGCTATTAATATATATATTTTTTAAATATAAAACTATTATTTTAATATATTTAAGGAAGAATTGGCGCACTGCTTTTCTCAGTGGTTCCATCGAATGCGACGATGTGTAGAGAGGAACGGAGATTACTTCGAAAAACAATAAAAGTATTGGCAACGTTCTACATTAAGCCGGTTTTCATTTTCTAAACATTTTCAGTGTTACCTAGGTACACGTCCAATATATTAGAATATAAGCTAGCTAGCAAGGGAAAAATTAAACAATTAAACAAGCAACCACAACATAAAAAATAATAACTAAAACTAAATGGAAACTTAAACTTTATTAAGAGCATGATAAACAAAGTTACGATAAATTGGAAGATTGTTGCAATATATATAAATATTTTCATTAATAATCAAGTTGTAAGAGCGCGATAGCCTATTCGCTGGACCATTCAAACTAGCAGATAAACGAGCCGAAGGTACGCATAGAAGACTTTAAGTTCTTGTAACTCTAGGATTACAAAGAAAGATAGATTTTGGAAGAAGGTTGGTATGGTTGATAACTGAAATCGCACTTAAAACGTGTCCGGTTATTTGCAAAACAGTTTAAATTAGAGCTTTAGCCTCAATTAAAATGTATGTATGTTAAATTTTAATCACATTTGCTTTTAAGTAATACATTATAGTATTTCCGAACCAATAAGGTCCTTCAAAAGAGCGTACCAATTCTTGAAAGGCCGGCAACGCGAGAGCCCTCTGGAATTGAGAGTATCTATGGGCGGCGGTTTCACTTTACATTATGTGAGCCTCCTGCCCGTTGGGGGCAAACTATATGTTCTATAAAAAAAATGCTTTTAGACATAGTTTTATCCTTCAAGATTCGTTGAGGAAAGCACCAGCTCTGGTCACCAGTACTATTTACCAGGCGCCAACTTAAATCTTTTCATTGATTTTTTATTTTTTTTTATTTTTTTTTTATTGGACAATTCACACCAATTGACCTAGTCCCATGCTAAGCTGGTGAAGCTTGTGTTATGGGTACTAGGCAACGGATATACATACATATAAATACATTTTAAACACCCAAGACCTAAGCACAACACCAAATGCTCATCACATCGATGTACGTCTCAGCCGGGGATCGAACCCGGGACCTATGGATCCGCAGTCAGGGGTACTAACTACTAGACCAATGAGCCGACCATTGATCCCCAACTTTTTATGTGCCATTCCTTAGCCTACCTAAACTTCTTATGCCCCCCCCACCCCCTATGTAACATACATAATTTATATATTAAAAAATGAATTGTTCACTTAAAGGCGGAAACTTAAGGCGGAAACATACTACTAAAACGCGACGCTACACCACGCCATCCGACGCATGTCAGTACTTATCAATCCCATATATTTAATATGGTCAGGTGCACATAGACAACACGCCATGTGATCACACGCGGTAACATCCAATCGATTTGGATCAGCGTGTTGTCGTGTTGTTGACGCCAAGCGTCAAACGTTCGAGTTTTTGGCACAAATGTCAATTTATATACTTACATATTTTTGGATTTATTTATTTGGCGAAATGAACGACCAACAATTAATTGAGTTGGTGAAACAATATTCTGTTCTATATGACATGAGATTAGCTCAATACAGCGACCATACTGTGAGAAATAATGTATGGGAAGAAATAGCCGAACAAATGAATACAAGCGGAAAGTTTTAATAAAATATTATATTACAAGACTTTTGTATGAGTTGCAAGTTTTTAATTTTGTCTACCTTTCCTCACAATATCAAGCTGCCACGGAACGGCGCCTTCACCACCTAAATATTCCTTAAATTTGTTTCTTACTGAAAATGCATACTGTGTGGAATTTCTACGAATTGGATTTAAGTCGTGGTGTCGCGTGTTGGTAATGTGCACGATGGACATCGGGTGTCGACACGTTGCGTCGCGTGGCGTTTTAGTAGTATGTTTCCACCTATACTTACGTGTCGTCGCGTGTCGTGATGCTTACTGTCGTGACGGTGAGTGTGCACATTTACGTGTCGTGTCGTGGCGTACTCTGGCGTTACTTATGAACAGTACTTAACGAACCTTTGCAACGTTCAAATATACATAATGTTTTCTTCAGGTTCGGATGGTGATTTTGATGAAGACCTTCAATTTCTCTTAGCAATGAAACTTCTTAAGAGCAAAAAAAATAAAAGATACTGGGTTCACCCTATAAACAGAGGGAGACAAGACAAAGGTGAATTTCATCGTCTTGTTAAAGAATTAGAGAGTGACGAAGAGAAATTTCATCATTTAATTAGGTTTTAGAAAGAAATCACTAGTTAACGAAACAAAAAGTAAATTTTCAAAACCTAATTTCATTTCTTGAGCCTGACAAGCTCCGAATCGCAACCTGTCTACGGCTTGGGGTTCCGGTCTGCACTCCTCATATATGTCCCCGTGGCAGTGATGTCGACAAGTTAGGACATCACGGACTGTCATGCCAAAAAAAGTGCAGGCCGCTTCTCGAGACATGCCGCACTTAACGATATCATACGCCGGTCCCTTGCCACCGTCAACGTGGCAAGTCTTGAGCCGACTGGAATTGCAAGAGACCGGAGGGTATGAGTTTGATTCCATCGAAGATGGGCCTTTTGCTGGTATGGGATGCAACCTGTTCAGACACGCTTGCCCCTTCCCATCGACATGGTACCAACAACATAGCTGGTGCGGCTTGTGAAGCGGCTGAAAAAGCTACAGCATGCAAATACACGGGTCTAAACTCCGAATATGATTTTGTCCCATTCGGTGTCGAGACCCTTGGTCTCGGGTCCTAGCGCTATAAGGCTTTTTAAGGAAATAGCAAAAAGGTTAGTCGACATCACAGAAGACCAAAGAGCTGGCAGCTACCTCTGACTAAGATTTAGTCTAGCTATTGAAAGGTGTAACGCTGCCAGTATCTTCGGAACCTTGCCTAAAGGGACTCCTTTTAATAATATATTTTAGTATTTATATTTTAAGGTTAGATATTGTTTTTTGTTATATTAATTTGGAGAATTATTTATTTTTGAAATTAATACTGAAATTTGCGAACATAATATAATGATATTTATATATCAAAACATTTAATTGTTCACTTAAGATCGATAAATGATAGGTTTAGGAAGAAACCACTAGTTAACGAAACAGCAAGTAAAACAGTTTTCAAAACATAATGAAAAACTGAATTTTCAAATAATTTTAACAAAGAGTTTTTCTGTTACTTCCAATTTGGTTAGCTTTAGTCTCAATTCTCCACGTTGTGTTACATCCAACTGATATCGATTGCCCCCTTTAACAATTAAATTGCCCCCCTGTGGGGCGTGGGCCCCTCGTTGGCAAACACTGCTCTAGACTTACACAGCTCTTAATGTAAACAAAATAATATGTAACAGCTTTTAAAATATTTTTATAAAATCTCTCGACGCTTTAATCTAGCGCCTGAAGTGTTATAAGTGCATTGCCGAGGTTTCCACGCCATTTCACTGTATTTTGAATTTCATTTTAAACACGAACATATTTTGCAGTACAGAGGATGTTGATATTTTATTTATCTTTAAATATAAATTGTTTACAATGTGATAATAATAATTGTAATAATAATAATTGGAAATTGATAAATTAAATTAATAAAACAAATTTTATTTTATTTTTGCTCTCATTAAATGATAAAAAAGGACAATCAAATACTTATGCAAATATGTTAAAAAAAATATATACACGTGTGAAAATGATATTAGAACTTAAGAAGCCTCCAGACTAGATCCATAGATGCTCCCAAATACCAGGTTCTTCCTTTTGACCAAATTCAGCGAAGGGCTTGATTCTCTCTCTCTACGCGGAGACATTGCGTCTCTTTGCGTTTTCTATAAAGTGTACTACGGTGTGTGTTCTGAAGAATTGTTTGGGTTGATCCCTCCTGCGTCGTTTCAACACCGTACGAGCCGTATCAATTCTAAATTTCACCAACATCACCTTGATGGATGGAAGTGTTCCACAGTCCGTTTCACAAGGCATTTTCTTTTGCGAACTAGCGAACTGTGGAATCTCCCGGTGGGGATCTTCCCTCAGAGATACGACCTCCAAATGTTCAAAAACCTCCTCGTCCCTGAAAAAATTTACTCCTCCCTGAAAGGCCGGCAACACACCCACTAAAAATTGGTGTCTATGGGCTGCGATGACTGCCCTTTTTGGAGGTCGCGCAGGCTGGTTTTCCCCCCTATTAAATAATGTAATAAAAGAATAAACAAAATAATAATAATAGCAATTAATGAAAAAAAAGATCTCTATGGAGTTGATGAATATGTCCACCGAGAAATTGTTCATTTTATTGTAAATCCGACACAATCTTTTAACGTTGGACCATTAAACGATGAGCACAAAAGTGAGACTGGCGAAGGAAATAGATATTTATAGCTACAAAACTGTTTTAAATTCTGTTACTATACCTGCTTAGGGTTTCTATAACAAAAACTTGGCGATAGATAAGTGGCGAAGATTATATTCTTCGTTAAATGACATCGTGCGTGTCAAGAATTGTGTTCTGCCTTTTTTATCAAAACTAAATTACTTTTTAAACATCGTCCTTGAACTCGTGTGATATAATCAACAGGTTTTCCTTAATATAATGCTCCGGAGCCGTCCAAGATACAAACAAATTATGTTAAAGATAATAACGTAGTATTGTATGGTCCGTCGTTATGTGGAGTCGTGTTTTTATACTCTGCGCGTGCGTTTGCGCATACTCAGAGTCACGGGTTGTAAACACGGCTCAGGGTCCAGTCAAGGGCTACCAGGATGGCAGTGGGCTGTACATCTTCTATAATATTCCATATGCGAAGGCTCCAACGGGAAAAGATCGATTTAAGGTATTGCTATATTGGCACTTTCTAAATAGACTTAAGAATATGATTAAGCAATTGGAACATAAATGATTTGACTTTGACTTTGAACCGCTTACCACGCCGAGTGTGATTTGGCACATGATTTTACTTAGCCTACCTTTTTAGTAGCTACATACTAACATATGGAACATTTTGCTATGCTACCATAGAGACTGTTCGCTTTCCCGGAATAAAACCTCGAAGACCAATTCAAGGAATAAATTTAAAATTACTTAAATTACCGTCTTCGAGTTTTGCGCTTAGCAGATTTCTTAGCAGAAAGATCAACCTTCTATGCCTGACGCAGTCGGCTTTTTCTGTCTAAATCTTGCCTGTTTCCTTACGACATTTTCCTTCACCAAGCGAGTGTAAAAAGCATTGACTCAGGATTGATAAAAATTAAAGCTAATCTTTTTTCGACTTAAAAAATATTATTAGATATCTGTCTTATTATCGATCAAAACGTTTGATTTGAATATAGTTCACGATAAAGATATGACGGTATGGCCTTGACATAAACATATATTATTATCTATTCTCTATATATTAGAAATTATGTAATATTTAACTTTAAAATCTAAATATGCTAACGTGATTCTCAACGCAGGATCGTGCATTCAAACACACTTTAAACCCAATTTGATAGAGTAAAAGAAAATAAAAATAAATCAGTGGCGCTGCAAACTTTTTAGGTTTTAGATTTCAAATTCATAAAAATCAAATTTATAAAAATCAAATTCATAAAAATCAAATTTATAAAAATCAGGTGAAACATTTTGGAGCACTTGAAATAAATCACAAATTTAAAACATTTTCTAAAACGCGTTTTTTCAAATTCACAATAACAAATTAGCTTCATACCAATAATAAAATAAAAAAATAGCTAATTACCAATTCGACTTAGGGTCCTTCAAGAAAAGAGCGTACCAATTCTTAAAAGGCCGGCAACGCACTCACGAGCCCTCTGGCATTGAGAGTGTCCATGGGCGGCGGTATCACTTAACATCAGGTGAGCCTCCTGCCCGTTTGCCCCCGTTCTATAAAAAAAAAAAGCTAAATGATAACGTCGCAGTCGCATGGTGTGTACAAACAGATCTAATGAAGAATACGGTAAAATACTAAATTTCACTGTGGACGATATAAATTCCCTTGAAGAATTTCACAAAACTGTTTAATACGAAATTCTAACGTCAAAGCAATTCGATCTCTTCTCTCGTCCAGATTCAACTCTCCTCTTCTCCCAATGTGTTGAACGGAATACAGAGGGAGAAGAATTCCTTACAGATAGCCCAGTAAACATCCTTTGCTAACATCGAAGGTTTGCTTAAGATATTTGAGGAATGGAAGAATTAGATGAACTTGTTAGCACCTTCGACATCCATCCGAGTTTCGAGCGAAAGAATGAAAAATATATCCTAACTTGTGATATTCATTACGAATGTTTTTATGTTCAGCGATAATCTACGCTACTACTTACCAGATAACATAATTTTTATCAATCTTAAAATCGTTCCTTGATAACGTAATGACAATGTACTTATTAAAATAGATAAAGATAAACTTCATACAAACTAAACCTTACTAATAACCAAATGAATAATATTTTTTCATCCCAGATTAAACACAATTAAAGAGAAGGAGACGAAAGTCTTATTTATTTTTAAATAGGTAGCCTTCAGCTTTATTTATTTATTTTATTTATTTATTATCACATGGTTGCATTAACATAATTAAATTTACATAATTAAATGAAAAGGAGGGCAATTGGCGGCCTTATCGTTTTCGAGCGATCTCTTTCAGGCAAACACTGTGAAGGTAAAGGTAAGCAAGAAGTGCACGTTACTTAGACAAAACTAAAACAGTCAAAAAAATTAAACTAAAAAAAAACCGACGGGTTGCACTCCGGGTGCCGGCAGAAGTGAAAATTTGAATACTAACGTTGTGCATTTTTAAAATTTTGGAATGTTTAGGGAATAATTTTGCACGAATTGCTTTAATTATCAGTACCTATAAAAGTACTATCATTTATGTGGTAGAATACAATATTTATTTATTGCGCTATCGTACACAAACATGACAATTTATATTACATATACGCCGCGCCAGCTGTCTACTCTCCATCCGTCTTACGAAACCTACACAAAATAATTAAAATTAGTATTAAATAATTCAATTAGGAAAATTCACTATTTTTTAAGACGCCTCAGTCTGACCAAATCGTTAATAATAAAGCTTTAGACGTTTCGCAAAATTAAACCTTAATGTATTAACTTAAGGTCCAATTCCACATGCATCAATGTATCTGAGGAAAGAGACAAATGAATTCAAACCGTAACTATATAGCATGAAGGTTCATAATAATAAAAGCCCGATTAAATTCCAATCATTACAAAAGTAGAATATGCAGCTTAGATTTGTTATGATCCTAATATCCTAGCTTCCTTCAGTACCATTGATCGGAACCTCTTCACGGGTATGGGCCTTCTCCAACTTTTTCCAAAAGCTTTATCAAGGACTTTCTTTCTCCATTCGCTTCCTGCTAACGCTTCTAAATCTTCTATCCACCTTTTTTAGGGCATCCTCTTCTACCTTCCCTTGGTCCATTTCTCTTTAAAGTCCATCTTGCTATATTTTCAGCCATAATCAAGTGTTAATCTGTTTTCAGGCGCCATTACCAGCCACAAATCGATCTTACGTTTTAGAAGCCATAAATAAAGGAATAGTATGCCCTCAATCAACAGAACTCTTTTCTATGTACAACGAAACAATAACAATAACAGAAGACTGTCTTATCGCAAATATATTTGTGCCGGATACCAAGAAGACTAGTTTACCAGTGATTGTCTATGTACACGGCGGAGCCTTTATCCTTGGACAAGGGAATTTCCTAACGTACAAACAGTTTGCTAAAACGAATGATATTATAGTGGTCACTTTCAACTACCGTCTAGGAGCCCACGGATTTCTATGTATGGGAACAGATGATATCCCCGGTAACGCTGGGATGAAAGACCAAGTAGCTCTTTTACGCTGGGTTAAAGAAAATATAGCAAATTTCGGAGGAGATTCAGATGATGTAACAATCGCTGGCTATAGTGCTGGATCTGTGGCTGTTGATTTGCTGATGTTGTCGGACATGGCAAAGGGATTGTTCAACAAAGTGATACCTGAAAGTGGAGCAAATACAGTCGCATGGGGCGTACAAACAGATCCAATGAAGAATGCAAAAGAATACGGGAAATTACTCAATTTCACAGTGGATGATGTATATTCCCTTGAAGAGTTTTACAAAACCGTTTCATATGAAATTCTGACGTCAAAGCAATTCGATCTCTTCTCTCGTCCAGATTCAACATTCCTACTCTCTCCATGTGTTGAACGTAATACAGAGGGAGAGGAATTCCTTATAGATAGCCCAGTAAACATCCTGAAGAGCGGAAGATACAATAAAGTGCCAATCTTGTATGGATTTGCTAATATGGAGGGGTTGCTTAGGACGAATCTATTTGAGGAATGGAAAAATAAGATGAACGAAGACTTTACTGAGTTTCTGCCTCCAGACCTTCAATTTAACAGCGAAGAGGAAAAGAAGATCGTTGCGAATAAAATAAAAGAGTTTTACTTCGGTGGTAAGGTCACTGACGAAAATACTCTTAGTTATGTGGACTTCTTCTCTGATGTCCTATTTACATACTCTACTTTGAGAGCTGTTAAGCTGCATTTGGAGGCTGGTCATGATAAAATATATCTATATGAATATGTTTTCGTTGACGACGATGTGCCGGTCGTCCTACATACGAACGTACGAGGTGCCACGCATTGTGCTCAATCCGTTGGCGTAGGTGATGGCAATTTCACTCATGCCGATGATGAGCCCTTTTCACCAGAGACAAGAGAAATGAAGAAAATTGTCCGCGAACTTTGGAGCAATTTTGTAAAAACTGGGTATGTTATAGATCACTTAACGAGAAGTCAAGTTAAATGTTATTATTTTTTTACTAAACCAAGTGTTTTTAATAATTGTAAGACCAGTAAACAAAGATATAAAGACGCTGTTAAAAATCACCATAAGTTCTCTAAGATGTCCGGGAGAAGGCCTGATCCAACTTTTTCCACCCTATTTCATTTTTGGCCGTTGTCATCCAATTTTGCCAGCTACCCTTTCGATCTCGTCGGCCCATCGCTCTATTGTTCTGCTCTTGTTTTTTTTTCCTTTTGGTCCAGTCCTTTCGATAACAGTTTTTAAACGGGCTACGTGCCCCCATTTGAGTGGTAGGACATGTTGCTCGGCATCTCTTATTTTTATTTATTTATAGTTCGTTGCACTTTCAGAAAAAAAAAAACAAATGACATAAAAATTATAAGGGCACGACCCTACCCTAGTAAGGTAAAAAAACTAAAAAAAAAAAGGAATATGGTGGGGAAAGTGCAAGAGAGTGCATAACCAAATCTTATAAAAAAGTTATAGAATTAAAAAAAAACAACCTTAATTTAAAATAATACATAAAAATTATAACATAATAAACATAAAATATAAAACTAAAAACTGAAAAGCTAATCTCACGGATTCATGAATTGCGATGCAATACAAACGAATATTATTGTAGTTTTTTTTTGCGTACACATTCACTTTTCTGTTTGTCACTTAGTTTAATTATTTTGGTCACACACTGAATTTTGTCATACTGGTTCATATTTCTCATTTAGTATACTAAATATACTAAATCTTATCTGGTGAAATAGTCCTGTAGATATTAAGTTTATACATTTTTACAGGCTACCAGTACCTGAAGGTTCAAACTTCCCATCATGGCCACCAGTTGGCAAGGGCTGGTCTCCACACATGGAGCTGAATAACCCTCTTCAGCTAAAAGGTTCGCTTCTAAAAGAACGAACATTATTTTGGGACGAAATCTACGAAAAGTACTATCGCCACCCATCACCACCACAAAATATTGCAAAAAGATTTGAACTTTAAATAAATATATAAATATACAATGTGTTTTATTTACTTATACTACGTCTTGGTGTAAATACAGAGAGCCTTCTGTGCCTGTCACACAGAAGCGTGTGTCATATTTGGGTTATTGTAGGTCCAAGCAGAGAGCTGCGGCCGATCCAAGTTTAGACCGTATTGACTTCTATTGTTTTTGGCATAATTACAGATGATTCCTACTAGTTGACTAGTCTATGTGTGTGAATGTTTAATAAAGCCAAAAAGTATACGTACCTTTGTTTTAAAATTTATAATAATGTTCACAAGTATCACGTGGGGTGTCTACGGTTTGAAATTGAACCACTAATTTAGACGTAAGAGACTTCCTGTTTCTACATTGTTTATGGAATATATTGGCGAATTGCTTAAGATATTAAACTTATTGTACCCGGTTGACTTGTACTGTACTTAATTTTGGTACAAAACGTGTAAGTACACGTTTTGTAAATCTGTATTTATCTAATATATAAAATTCTCGTGTCGCGGTGTTTGTGGTTAAACTCCTCCGAAACGGCTCGACCGATTCTCATGAAATTTTGTGTGCATATTGGGTATGTCTGAGAATCGGACATCTATTTTTCATCCCCCTCGATGTTAAGGGTAGTCCACCCTTAAATATTTTTTTTATATTTTTAGATATTTTTTTATTTTTTTATAAAATACATACAACCCCTAACTTTCACCCTTCTACGATCAACCTGTATTTTTTTTATTATAAATTATATACATGGCAAAACGACGTTTGCCCGGTCAGCTAGTTTATTTATAAGTTCTAAAATGTATGCATAACATACAAGAAACATGACATCACAAATTTTAATAATAATAATAATAATAAAGCCTTTAATCAGATAGAAAATAATAACATAATTTTAAACTTAAACTTAACACTAGTGAGTCGGTGACACCGACAACCCATCTGTTTGCCCAACTTTGGCAAAGGCCTCCTCCATTTCTCTCCACTCTGCTCTGTTCTGAGCTTTCCTGGTCCAAATTTTCCCAGTTACGGATTTTATTTCGTCTTCCCATCTTCGAAACTGTCTACCTCGTTTTCTTTTATTATTTCTTGGGTACCAATATATGATCTTTTTGTTCCACTTTTCTATACCTCTTATTACGTGACCAGCCCATTTCCATTTCAATCTTCGTATCCTCGTTGTGACGTCTTCAATCTTCGTGTGGTTTCGTATGATTTTATTATTGATTCTGTCGGACTTCCTGATATTTAGCATGCTTCTTTCCATCGCCGTCTGGCATGTCTTCAATTGCCTGGTTTGCATTTTAGTGAGTGCCCAAGTTTGGCAGCCGTATGTTAATACCGGAAGTATGCAAGTGTTATACAGCTTTGATTTGACATTTATATTTATTTCTGTGTTTTTCATGATTTCGCTAAGCCCCCAGTAACATTTCCACGCTTTCCCAATTCTTGTATCAATTTCCTTCGACATTATACCAGTGGTTGAGATCTGTTGGCCCTGGTATGTGTACTCTTTCACATAATCAATTGACTCTCCATTTACTATAATAATATCTTCTGATGCATTCGTCATGGCTTTAGTTTTTGAGGTGTTCATTGTTAGCCCTACCTTGCGGCTTTTCCTCTCCAGGTCTGTAATCATAATTCTTAGATGCTCTTTGTTTGTAGCAAATAGTATGATGTCATCGGCGAATCGTAGGTGTGTTAGTTGTTCCCCGTTTATGTTTAGTCCGTACCCATCCCATTTTAATTCTCTGAAGATGTCTTCTAGTACAGCTGTGAATAATTTAGGTGATAGGGGGTCTCCTTGACGTACACCTCTATTTATTTTGATTTCTTTTCCTACTTTTTCTAGTTTTATTCTAGCGGTACTATTCGTGTATATATTTTTTAATATTCTGATGTACTTTGGGTCGACTCCTTGATTTTTGAGGCAGTGCCAGATATTTTCGTGCTCTATTGAGTCGAATGCCTTGTTGTAGTCTATGAAGCAACAATAGAACGGCACATTGAATTCTTTGGTTTTCTCAAATATTTGTCTTACCGTAAGTATATGGTCTAATGTTGAATATCCCGCCCTGAAACCAGCCTGCTCTATAGGTTGATTTTCGTCCAGATTTCTGGTTATTCGCCGCAAAATTACTTTCGCAAAGACTTTATAGATGTTCTGACATTAAGCTTATCGGCCTATAATTGTTCATGTCACTCCTGTCACCTTTTTTGTGGAGGAGGATGATCGTTGATGTGGTCCACTGTAACGGAATTTGTTCAGTGCTCAGTATATCGTTAAAGATGTATTTTAGTAGTGGTGATATCTCTTTTTTGCAGACTTGAAGCATATCATTATTGATCCCGTCAGGGCCGGAAGCTTTATCCTTCTTCTGGGATTCAATTGCTTTGTTTATTTCTGCTTCTATTATATGAGGAACATTATCGTTGCTAGTTAAGTCTATATTGTAAGTATGATATTTGCTGGAGTAAAGGTTCTCATAGAATTTTGTGGCTATTGATAAAATATCCGATCTGATAGTCCTTGTCTTGCAAAATTGGTCTTTCATATTAGGTATCCACTTTGTATTGTCAGATAAGAGCTTAAGAGCCTTTTTTATGCCACCCGTCTTGATAATATGTTTTTCAAAAGTGTCACGTCTAAGACGTTCTCTGTCTCTTCTCATTTGGCTCTTAATTTCTTTGCTAGTTTTTCCTATTTGTTCTCTGATAGATTTTGTTTTGTAAGTCATTTTAATTAATTTTGATCTTTTTTATATGAGGTCTTTTGCTTTAGCTGATATGTGGCCATTGTCCTGTGATTTGGTTTTAGACGTGGTTTTCGATCTTGCTGTTAGTATCTCGTGTATTATGTTGTATTTCTCTTGAGTTTTTAGGTGCTCGAGCGATGATACCTGCACGGACTTGAGGTTTTCTTTTATGTTGGCAATACTAGTGTTGCTGCACATTGTGGATGTTTTAATTTTGAAGGGTCGACATAACTTCAAACTAAATGATGCGTTTAAACACGCTCTAAGCATTCTATGGTTACTGTTGAAGTTAAGGGTAGAGATGGTGCCACAGTCGTCGATTGATTTGGGTCTGTTCGTTAAAAAGTAGTCTATTTCATTTTTGTATCGACCATCTGGTGATATCCATGTCCATCTTCTGGAAGCTCTTTTTTTGAATACACTATTCATTATTTTCATATTATTTTCAAATGCCATTTCCATCATCTTTTGCCCGTTTCGTGTTCGTTTTCCAGTACTGTAAGGACCTAGTACGACATCTTCACCGTTTCTTGGGGTTCCAACACGTGCATTGAAATCGCCCATTATAATGCAGTTTTTGTGTGTGTGTTCTTTTAGGGCGGTGTTAAGGGATGAGTAGAAAAGGTCGATCTCTGAACTCGTTGATTGCTCAGTTGGTGAATATATTTGCACTATAGACCATGTTTCTCTGCCTGGAGGGATTCTAACATTCAATATAGCGATCCTTTCTGATATGCCGATTATTTCCACTATAGAGTTTTTGAGTTCTTTCTTGATCAGGAAACCTACTCCATGTCTTCCTGGAGTTTCACCTTTATAATATAATATGACTTCATCGTATTCCTGAATTGATTCGCCAATCCTTCTTACTTAGCTCAGGCCTATAATGTCCCACTTAATATTTTTGATAGAATATAGAAGTTCTTTAAGGCTTTCTTCAGACTTTAGGGATAATGTGTTGAATGTGGCTATATATATTTGTTTGGTATAAAATTGTTTCTCAGTTGCACAAGTATTCGTTTTAGGTGTGGGAGTGGGAGTAGTATTTGGAGGGTAATGGTCGCTTTCCCCCACGGTGACCAACCGTCTTGGGGTGATTGCTTTCAATGTTTCTTTGGCTAAGTGTGTTTCTATTGTTGGGTTGGGTTTCCTGTTGTTGTCGGCGTCTGTTGAGCGTTTTTTGATGTTGATGGTGAAGGTAGTGACAGTGATCTACCACGTGCTACGTAGTCTAGCATGCAAGTTTTATTAATCTTCTTTGGGCCCGCAGTACGTGTGTAAGTTGGGGATTTGCTTGGGGAGTTAGTGGAGTCTCTTTTTCTCTTATCTCTTTTGTCCTCTTTCGGTTCTTTCACAACTATTTTATCCTTGAAAAAGTAACAAATTTTTCCCATTGCTCGTTCCTCCTTTAGTTGAGGCAGAAGTTGTTTCCTCTTTTCCAAGGTTTCCTTGCTAAGGTCCTCCTTAATATAGATATCAGAATCTAATTTCTTTTTGTTCCTAAGTACTTCGTTTCTTCTCCAGTTTGTTGTAAACATTACAAGGATAGGACGCGGTTTGTTGCCTTTTTTTTCTCCTAGTCGATAAGCTTTATTTATTTCATTCGAGTTAAGATGAAGATTCATGTTTTCTTCAAGTACTTTTTTTATGACTTCGATTGGAGACTCCATGCGCTGTTCCTCTTTTATACCAAAGAAGATTATGTTGTTTCCCTTCCTGTATTCTTCCATCGACTTAATTTTGTCTTGTAAGATTTTTACTTCAGTCTTCAGGCTTTTGTTTTCTTCCACAAGAGCAGACAATTTTTCGTTAATATTCTCTGACACGTTTCTAGTGACAGCTTCGGTTATTGCCTTTGTTTGCGCAGCCATCTCCTCCTTCATTCTGTGCCAAAAAAATCCATCTCCTTTTCCATTATTGAGTTGGAATACTAGATAAGGGTTGTCAACACCAGATTCCGGTTTCGGTGTCAGCCAGTAAACATATGTTATCGTTAACTCGTCCGAAAATAATTACCATTCGCTTCGAGCTCGGGAGCGGCGGCGGCGGTATAATTCCTTACAGAATTATTTTTCCCTTTATATACTATCTGTTAGAAATAAATAAGATATCTTCATATAAATTTATAAAACAAAAATTAAAAATTAAAAAGAAATGTTCTTTCAATATCCCGTGTATAGGTTTGAACTTAGGCCGATTGAAATGTTCGATTCCGGAACACAGCTTAACTGCGAAGCCGAGTACTGTATGACGAGGAGGACGAATTACTTGAACAGTTTCTTTCTTGAGTGACGTTTACAAAGAGTGACGTACACACGTTTAACATCACAGATAAAAAGTCATAGTTTTTTCTTCTTTTTGTAGTAATATCAACAAAAATTGACTGATCCTTGTTATAAGTCACTCGCACTTGATTTGTACACGCACTTTTAATTGTTTTAGTCAAAACGAAAAGTCACCGAAATCGAAGTCAAGACAACACAATTTAAAACGTGATATTTTTCTATTTTTTACACTAATAATAAGGCAGATACGTTTGCCTATGGTATATCTTCTCCTGGTTCGCTTGAATATTTACTTTTTATTGTGTATTCTCACTTATTTCTATTTTTAATTGGTTATTTTGCGAGGACTCGATATTCAACTTGCGCCTACCCGCAACAAGACGACGATATTCACAAATTTTACACACATACAAATAAATTATATTAGAACATTTTTGAACAAATTACATACTTAATAAAAAAATAATAAATATATAAATAATAACTAAAACGAAATATGATATGATAGACAAAGTTACGGTTAGTCAGAAGATTTTTGTAAAATATATCAATATTTTCACTAATGTTAGTAATCAAGTTGTACCTAAGAGCGAGATAGCCTATTCACTGGACCATTAAAAGTTGCAGATAAGCGAGCCGTATGTACGTATAGAAGACTTTTAGTTCGAGTAACTCTAGGATTACAAAGAAAGGAATTAAAGTTACTAATAATACTTTTAATATTTTATACAATGAAGTCAAGGCGGAGTTTAGAGTATCTAACTTGAAATAGTCTAAACGAGCCTCGTACGTTTGCAACACACCACGCAAGTGTAGACGATTGCAAAGCTTTCTAAGGAAGGTTTTTGAAATGTTTCAATGGTATTTATGTGAATTGTGAAATATGTGACCAGATTAACAGTAGCATATTCTATAATACTACGGACGAGTGATTTGTAAAGAGTTACTGCCCTGCGATTCTGTAACTCACTTTTCGAACTCGATTGTTGTTCGATAAACAAACTACAAGCTCCCACCTTTTCAGAATGCCAAATCATAAAATGACTGCTTCACGACTGATTTAAGAGCGACCGTCGATGCGAAAACCGCTATGTGAGTTCGAAAAGTGAGTTACAGAATCGCAAGGCTGTACTTTGGTCTTTGAACGTCTGTAAAGGATGAAGGACCTCAATACAAAACCTAGCATTTTATTAGCCTCGATGGCGGCTATTTCCGTGTGCTCAGTGAAATTCAGTAATAATAAATATAATAATACTATTTCTAAGGAGATAAGCAAATCGAAATGATTTTTAAGATCACATAAAAAACACACATCAACAAACAAATTATTAGTTTATTGTCTTTGATAGAAGTGTTTGTCGTACATATGTACTAATGTGTGTCCTATTGGCTTATTAAAAAAAAATTGTAAATAATATATAAGGTTTTAGGTGAGATTTCTATATTGTGATAATACATTTTTCTTAATATGCCGGTTTCTTCACCATATTTTCCACCGTACAAGCGATTGTTAAATGCGCACTTAGAAAATCCATTGGAAGAACCACACTTTAAAAAAAACTAGCTCGGTTAACTTCGTTCCGCCTAATTACGGCCTGGCCACGGGGATCGGCGGTGCGAACGGCGATGCGGGAGGCGAGGCGACCATTCACGCGGTGCCGTTTGCAGGCCACGCACCAGTCACGTTCGCCGCCGCGACCAGTAAGGAAGTTCGACAGCGAAATGTCTTCATCGAAATCATCTCGATATTGCTTGGAAAGTAATAGCTTTTGGTTCAAGACCTAATATTTGGAAAAGATTGTGGAGTACATGATTTAAATAAGAATCGAGGTATAGATGGAGAATTCCACAAAAAGTTCGAGAAATACAGAATATATCCAGAAAAGTTTTTTTGAGTATACCAGAATGAGTATTAAAACATTCGATTATATTTTTATGTATATTTAACCAGAATTGGAGAAAAAAGTTAATGCAAATATAATTTTTTAGTTAAGCCAGTATTTCAGTAATAAAAAACTCTGTATTCATTTTTCGCCGCGAAAACGACTAAACTTATTTCATCCCTGCTCTATTCGCCGCGACTGCCGCTCGACTCCGTGGCTTGCGCCGTACTGATTCATGCATTTGTTTCGCTCGCCCGCGCGATTCGCTAGGTACATTTCGCCGGTCGCATCGCCGGTCGCCGTTGCGCGTGGCTTAATTAGTACATTGCTATAAGTTTATTTCAGTCGCTAGACGCATCGCCGTTCGCACCGCGCGAATATTCGCATCGGCGAATGTCCCGTGGCCAGGCTGTAACAGTCTAATAATATCGTGTTAACTTTAGTTAAGCTTAATTTACGATTTCATTAAGGTATATACAATCTTTATGGCAAACACAGAAATTATTGCTTGCCATTGCGAAAGAAGAATGGCAGTTTTACACATTAAGCCTCTTCTCTCTAGCGCCAATATTGCCATACTGCATGTTAAAGCACTTTCTGATATACAACATTTTTTGATGAGGACACATGTCTTCAATAAAGATCAAAGCTTGGTTATGCATCTCCTCATTCACCTCAAGATCAGAATATCTTGAACTGACACGAATTCGATGTAAAATGATGCGTAGTTATGTTACAGATTGCACCACATGCTGTTTGCATTCGTAATATTTATTTATTGTTATTCGATAACCTATCTGATATTTTATTACTTTACTTATTATAATATTATTCTGCTATTCGGAGCGGAGAAGAATCCACCAAAAAGGAGATAACTTAAATCGGTCCAGCCTATCTTGAGTTATAAGTGGTGTAACTAATACGACTTTGTTTTATATATTTAAGATTAACTAATTAAATTTTATTCGCGTACCCTGTATTACTAATTACACGTTCATTTGACGACGGCAGATAAACAGCTCGTTTTCAGCTTCTGCTGGAGTCTCGTTTGCAGTTTGTCGCCCAATTCGACTTCGAGCGTTATGTACGTATATGAACGTAACTAATGGATTTTGACTTAAAGGAATCATACTTAGAGTTATTTCTCGGCTCGCTATCTACCTGTCATAAGGAAAATCAACCCTGAATTGGGTTTATGGTTAATTTTTTTGAGAGGGGTAAAACTTGGATAACGTTTGAAAAGTAGCTTTGCTGTTAATTTTTTGGTGCTTTTCGAGTATTTCTTACAAATTAATCACCAGATCTTCAGGTTATCTTAATATATATATTTCTTCTGTGCGTGTGTATGTGACTGAACTCCTCTCAAACGACTGGACCGATTTTGATGAAATTTTTTGTGTGTGTTCAAGGGGATCTGGGAATGGTTTAGATTCACAAATCAGCCCGGCAGATGGCACTGCAGTCGGTACTTTCATACTTTGCTTAATATCCTAATCGCTTTAAATATCATGCAGGACAACGTCTGTGGGGTCCACTAGTTTAAAATAAATTCTGTGAAGACCTTCTTTTTTTTGTAACCCGTAATTTGGTAAAAAATATGATTAATGACCATGTTTAATATTTTACTAATAAATGTCGTACCATTTTTTGTTGCTTTTTCTATGTGTATGTATATTATTTTGTTCATAGCTGCAAATGTTTACAATAACACCCACAGTTAAAACTAACTGAATTTTCTAAACCAAATATAAGTTTTCACGAATTTACGCATTAAGTTACAAAACATATAAAAATATTTAAAAAAAAACATTACAAAGCAGATAAAAAGCCGGATCATCGCAAAAAGATAATCTTTGAAGATAAAACTGGTTTGATACTCGACTGTGTTCGAAGCAACACGCGTCGCAATGCTAATATTTTTAATTTTTACGTTCATTTGTGTCTGTCAATGTGTAGATTATCGTGTTGTTGACACATCAGAAGGTCCCGTGAAAGGATACAAGGATGGCGGAATCTATGGTTTCTACAATATACCTTACGCGAAAGCACCGACTGGAAGAGATCGATTCAAGGTAATTTATTAATAAGTTTACCGGTCAGCCCGGATTTCTTTTACACCCAAGTGCCGCACTGCAGGTTTTAATGATTACTGGTTAAAAACAAGAGGTCCCGACACGTTTTAATGGATCCGGCTGATCCACCACGATAGCTAACGACAAATTAAAGCCGCTTCACTGGAGAAAGCAAGGTCCCTTATTTCTTACTTCACTCACTCCAATGAGCTTCCGTCCTGCCATTCAGGTGGTGAACCCCACGGTGGCTCAAGCCGAGGTCGAAGTCTCGCAGAAAACGCCCTTGCGCTAGTCGCGGGGAAAAGCCTAAACGAGGCTTGCTACGTCTGATTGACTGCACGTGAAAAATGTATTATATTTTTCCATAGGAAATCATATATCGCGCCAACTTCTTTTTTAAATCTCACCCTTAGGGCTTAGATTTTACTCCAGAAACTTAGCTCTAAGTAAAAAATTAAATGGCGGCAAACATAACATTAAAGTCGTGTCTCTATATCTAATCCATAGACAATCTAGAATTGTCTATGGATTAGTACACTATTATTATAGAACATTTGTTTCACAACCGTGAATAGAATGTGTCGTAGGTACTGTAGGTTTAAAGAGTAACTGCTTGTTAACGTGATATGTAATTCAGTAAATTACTTCATCATATTGTAAATAACAAAAAAAATATACTTATATTGTCAAAGGAATTATGATTATATGACAGTAATTTTCGTAACCATACAAGCAGTAATAATATAATTCGTAACTGTATAATGATAACCTCGTACGTCAAAAAACCATTAATTGTTTATTCTTAGACTCTTTGTCATTTAACTGGTATAATCATGAAGTAAGGACTTATTTATGTTATTAATAATTAAGTCCTTTTTACCATCTAAAACTATGCAACACACATAAAATATTATTAACGAACATTGACAAAATGAAACATATTTTTCGTTTCCTGTAATGTTTGGTTCTCTGCCCTGCGATTCTGTAACTCACTTTTCGAACTCACACAGCGGTTTTCGCATCGAAGGTCGCTCTCAAATCAGTCGTGAAGCAGTCATTTTATGATTTGGCATTCTGAAAAGGTGGGAGCTTGTAGTTTATTGTTTATCAGAATGCCGATGCGAAAACCGCTGTGTCAGTTCGAAAAGTGAGTTACAGAATCGCAGGGCTGGTATTTTTTTTCTTTATGACGTTGGTGAAACAGAAGTATATTATTACCACTCTTTATTTGTTTTTAAACTGTCGCATTAACTTTTATGATTACGTGGTAGAATTACAATCTTAACTAAAACTATCTTTATGACTTAGGCGATCTTTTCCCGGAAAGTAAAATTAAGTAAACGAGTATTACAAGTAGCGGCACGAAACTCTAGCGCTGACCGTTATTGCGCAGAAGTAAAAAATAAGGTACCTGAGGGGGGCTAGCGGGCGCGCGTAACGTCGATTGGCTCTCCAGTCGCATTCCGTCCCCCGCGCGACAGTACACATGCGCAGCAATCCCCTCCACGTATCGGCCAGCGCTAGACTTACGTGCCGCTGCCTATACTAACATTGTGCATAAAATAATTTCCGAAAAATAAAGACATCGTTGTGTTTTTTGAAGTGAAATTTCTTTAGGCGCATGGGGGAAATTTTTTACGCAATATTAACGCAATAATAATAATATTAGCGTCACGAAGATGTGTAGCGTTTTTGTCGAAGAAAAGGGAGAGAGCGGTTGAGACCGATTGAGAGAGAGTGAGAAGGGCGATTAACCTAATACAAATTCTGTTTTTAAAATTAAAATTTCGTAAAGAGAGATGAAATATTCGTATTTTATATTTTATGCAAAATAATTTATCGAAATCTCAAATGACGAATTGTAAATTAAAATGCCACGTGTTTTAGTATCGAAGAAATAAATTTACAAATTTAAATTTGTAACATGTATTAATTTTCGACACTTTTAATATTTTAATGACAATTAAATTCCTAACATATCTTACTTTTTCCCACCCTCTAATTCTCGGGAATCTAAAGTTTTAGATTTGTATAAATATGAACCAGACTGAAATTAGTTTGCCAAAGAAGTTTCATTTTTGACATGTGTAATTTATTGCGTACAAACGCGCTTGTTTTTTCAATAAAATGTGTAGCAAAAGTTCTGAAAATAATTACTGTTATAGTACATCACCCAAGGAAGTGAAAAATGAAGACATTAAAACAGTCATAATAGTGTTTTACCACTTCGTTCTCCGGGGCAAGCGATATGTCATATTTGAATATTACGCATGGTTTACTTTTTTTTTATGGCTCTGGCACGATTTGTGGAATAGCCAGCGTCAAGTATAGGATTTTTTATAATTCGTGCTTGTCTTTTAGAAATTCGACCGTGTCCATGTACGGTTTAAGCACTCGCCCGGTACCGCACAACCCTCCCAAAGGCCGAGAACAAATTTAAATTAAATTAAAACTTGCTCTCGAACCGGGAATCGAACCCGGTACCCCTCACCTAGCTGCCACTTAATAAGACCGCTAGACTATGAGGCCCCTATGTTTTACTTTTATTTCCCTATTAATAGTTTCATTATTATTTTCTATTCAGCCAGCATTACCAGCACCACAAAGAACTTATCTCCTAGAAGCTGTTGACAAAGGAATTGTGTGCCCTCAACCGAAAGATCTTTGGGTGCTTTTAAATCGCAGTTTTCTTATGACTGAAGACTGCCTTATCGTCAATATATTTACACCGGATACAACTAAAACAAATTTACCAGTTTTGGTTAGTGTTCACGGCGGTGGATTTGTAATAGGTGACGGTAATCTGCTGAGATACAAGAACTTAATCAAAGACAGAGAGTTAATAGTAGTCACATTCAACTACCGTCTCGGGGCTCATGGGTTTTTATGTCTCGGAACGGATGACGCACCTGGAAATTCCGGCATGAAGGACCAAGTTGCTCTCCTCCGTTGGGTTAAAGCAAACATCGCTAAATTCGGTGGAAACCCTGATGATGTCACAATAACTGGCGGCAGTGCTGGAGCAGCGTCAGTTCATTTACTAATGCTATCACCAATGTCACAAGGATTATTCAATAAGGTCATACCAGAAAGTGGTGCGGCCACAGCGCCGTGGGCCGTTCAGATAGATCCTATCTGGGTAGCTCAGGAATATGCAAAAATGCTGAATTTTTCCAATTATCAGGACTTAAATGCGCTTGAAGAATTCTATAAAACGGTGTCTTATGAAATTTTAGCGTCTGAAGCAATGCAGCTCATGAATCAGGCTCACGCTTCAATTTCTCTTGGCCCATGTCTGGAGAAGGGTTCTGGTGATAAGTTCCTGACTGAGAGTCCGGTAAATATACTGAAGAGTGGAAAATATAGTAAAGTGCCAATGCTGTTTGGATTTGCAAAGATGGAAGGCTTGATCAGAAAAGATGTTTTTGACGATTGGTCAGAGAGGATGAACGCGAAATTTTCTGACTTTATACCTTTAGACCTGGATTTGGATAACGAAACCATTCAGAAGGTGAAAGAGTTCTATTTTGGTACTTCACCAATTGACAAAACTAAAATTGTAGATTATATTAACTACTTCACGGATATTGTCATCGCGTACCCAACACTAAGATCGTTGAAGATGCATATAGATGCAGATCAGGATAACATATACTTATATGAATTCTCATTTGTACATGACGATCTACCATATATACCTTACACACACATACGAGGAGCTGATCATTGTGCTCAAACGCTGCATGTGGGAGACGGAAACTTGACGCATACAGATGATGGCGTATTACCGGAGGAATGTAGAGAAATGAAAAGAAAAACTCGGGAACTCTGGTACAACTTTATAACAGAGGGGTAAGTTTGTGTTACAAAAATAGTTACCGTTACCTATTAAGCATCGCTGATGTGGATTAGGTGGCATGTATCCGGCAAAAAAGCAATTTTTGCTTTAAAAGCACAGCCTACTAAAGGAGCGTGTCAGGTCTCCGTATAACCTTTGGACATCTCAAAAAATGCCAAAGGACTTGTTGTTTATGCCATAAATACAAAAAAAAAGAGTTTGTATTACTTGATCTTTAGTACTACGATGCACAGGAACAAGACTAATTAACTTCCGACAGGCGCTACCACCTTTTTAGATCTGGGCCTCAGATTTCTGAATCTGTTTCATGATCATTTGTCAATCTGATAGGCAAGAAAGTGATCAGTCTCCTTTGCCTGACACACGCCGTCGACTTTTTGGGTGTAAGACACGCCGGTTTCCTCACGCTGTTTTCCTTCACCGTTCGAGCTAATGTTAAATGCACTAGACAGAAAGTCGATTAGTGCACCGGGGATCGAACCTATGACCTCAGGGATGAGAGTCGCACGCTGGAGCCATTAGGCCAACACTGCTCTTTTTTTATATAACACCCTAATTGCTGCTTTCAGGAAACCAGTGCCAGAAGGTTCAGCATTTCCCTCTTGGCCTCCCGTGGGCAAGGACCTATCACCCCATATGGTGATAGACGATCCACTGGTGCTAAAAGATGTATTAAATAAAGAACGAATGGTCTTTTGGGACGAAATATATCAGAAGAATTATCGCCATCCTTCACCTTCGAAAATTAAATTGTCAACACGTACTGAATTATAGATAAAAAATAAAAATGTGTTTATTCATTATAAGTGAAAAATGAAAAATGTTTATTTGTATCTCAAATTTTGCATTAAATACATGAGTTGAGACAGCCCCCGAAAGTAGTCAGAGACACTTGTGTTGGGGTTGGCTCGCTACTTCCCCTTATTTATACAATACTAGTGGACCCCACAGACGTTGTCCTGCATGATATTTAAAGCGATTAGGATATTAAGCAAAGTATGAAAGTACCGACTGCAGTGCCATCTGCCGGGCTGATTTGTGAATCTAAACCATTCCCAGATCCCCTTGAACACACACAAAAAATTTCATCAAAATCGGTCCAGTCGTTTGAGAGAAGTTCAGTGGCATACACACTCACAGAAGAATTATATGTATAAAGATTGAGACAGTTGTTAGAAAAGAATACAAAACAAAACAAAACCCAGCTAAGAAGCAAAGCCGGTAAAAAATTAAATAAATAAAATGAAATGTAATTCTCCTAGTTTCTCTGACAATTCTATGAACTTATTTTATGCATGCGTAGTTGTGTGTGTATGTGCGCATGTGTGTGTGCATATGCATTGTGTAAGATTTGGGTTCCCAAGGGGTCCAAAAGGGTTCCCTTTTAAGTAAAAAATACCTGTGTCAGGGTTCTCGGCTCTGCCATAACAAACTTAATTATATATTCCTTAAAATATATTTTTATATTATAATTTAATTACATATTTTATATGTATTGTAGACTCTAGATAGACTAAAACGCGCTATTTATTTTTTCATAAGCATTATTATATTCTAAAATATCTCTTAAAATAATATTAAAAGAAACCTAGAACCTTCTAGGTCTGGGCCTCTAATTTATTTAGCAGTTCGAGCCAGTGGCCCAAAAAAGTCCATTGATGCACAGCCGGGGATAGAACCTACGACCTCAGGGATGAAGCACGCTGAAGCCACTCGGCCAACACTGCATGCACGAACAAAATTTGTTTTTTATTTATCTATTAAAGTTTACATAGTACTAAATCTACGGTATATATTACAAATTATTTTATCTAAAATATGAATGTTACAAAATTCAAAATCATTTATTCATATAACACAATGTACACTTATAAACGTCAAAAAAGAAATATATATGAAATGCTTCTATTTTTACATGCCCTCTAATCATAGGAAATCTCCTATGTCTACTCTAGTCTATAATTTAGTTTTGTCTTCCTGCACTCATCCCAGGGCCCATTCCTCCTCAACTGGCGTATTCAGAGCTAGAGATGAACATCCCCACAATTCTTACGCCTGACAGCCCAGAAAAGTTATCATGACCTCGAAAATAATTATGATAAAAGATATCTAATCACAACAGTCATTCATGTAACGTCGTAATGTGGAGCTGTGTGTTCATATTTTTCGCATGCATTTGCACATGCTATGCTGATTCACGGGTTATATATACCGCTCAGGGTCCAGTCAAGGGTTACAAGGAAAATGGGCTGTACGCCTTCTACAATATTCCGTATGCCAAGGCGCCTACTGGTAGAGATCGATTTAAGGTGAGTTTAAATTACAGTGAAACCTTTTTAACGAATTTCAAGGGACCGACCATTTTTTTCGTTATAGAGAATCTTCGTTATATGGAGTAAAGAGAAAAAAAAACAAATTTAACCAATTTCATAATAATTTTAATTGTAATAAATTAATTATTTCTAATTTTATTACAAAATTGCTTGATCAACTGATGAATGGAGTGAGGCCTAAACGTATTCCAAAATCACTTTTTTATTGAAAAATTTCTTCGTAATAGAGAATGGCTGCTGCGATATAAATAATAAATTAATGTATAAAATACCATACATGTTAAACCAAATAAATTTAACACATTGTTACATTATAGAGAGGCATTCGTTATAACGAATGACGTTTTAACGAGGTTACACTGTATAATAATATTTTTTTAAAGTACAGCTACACATATACATATTATAAAAGACTTAGATAATATACAAAGTTAAAACAGATTACATTGATAAATAAAATATACGAAACAGAAAACATAAGTCAAGAAGATGGCGCCTTGACCCCACTCGAGGCATATGCTTTGCTCTGGTCGTAACAATATTCGTACTTTTATTCGTTTAGTAATGATTCCAAACTATATAATTAAATAATAACAAAACAATTGAATCAAAATAAATTAAGATTCTTTATAGAAGAAATCTCAATTATTAACAAAAGCACCAATAAAAATCTTAATAGATTAATAATAATGTATTGCAAGAATATGGTACAAAAATGTGTAAGGTGGTACAATCGTAAGTTCGCATATTCTGCCATACACAATGGCGCGCAAATTTGTCTTTTAAGGAATTTTACATTATTAGTCATATGAATTGTCAATTCTTATATTATTTGTATCGTACATATCATATCATACGTTATTAAATTTATATCAACTAAAGTGTCTCACGCAAATAATCATTTATTGAATAATATTTTTTTTTCCAAAACTAATACACCAAGTCGATTTTTAAAAACTCTAGTCGGAAGATATTTTAATTCTTTGGTAAATTATTGTAAACCTTGATTGCCATACAAAAGGTGGTTTTCCTAAACAGTTCCAAATTGATTAATTTTTTCTGCTAATCCAAGCATTCCCTGACAGACATAATTGAGATCTAAAATCTATAGCTGTGGGAAGGATAAGCTTTTCGCAAATAATCTGTTATATTTACATTCATTTCAGCCGCCATTACCAGCACCAGCACGAACTTACGTTTTAGAAGCTCGAGATAGAGGAATTCTATGTCCACAACCAACAATGTTAATTGATATGTTTCCACAGAGTGTTACAATGACTGAAGACTGTCTTGTCGCGAATGTATACATACCTGACACCACTAATACGAATCTACCGGTCGTTGTATATGTCCACGGAGGCGGGTATATAGTTGGTTATGGAAACCTTTTTACATACAACCATTTTGTTAAAACACATGAAGTGATTGTCGTTACTTTCAACTACCGTCTAGGTGCTCATGGATTCCTCTGTTTGGGAACAGATGCTGTCCCCGGTAACGCTGGGATGAAGGATCAAGTAGCTTTACTACGCTGGGTCAAAGAGAATATAGCAAATTTCGGAGGAGATCCAGATGATGTAACAATCGCTGGCTATAGCGCTGGATCATCTTCCGTAGATTTATTAATGCTATCAGATATGACAAAGGGTTTGTTTACTAAAGTGATACCGGAAAGTAGAGCCAGTACAGCTGCATGGAGTGTTCAAATCGATCCAATAAAGAATGCACAAGAATATGGAAAGTTACTCAATTTTACAAATGATGATGTTCATGCACTTGAAGAGTTTTACAAAACTATTTCGTATGAAATTCTAACTTCTAAGCAATTCGAACTTTTCTACCGACCTGATTCAACGGTTCTGTTTTCTCCATGTGTGGAGAGGGACACGCAGGGTGAAGAGTTCCTTCTAGATAACCCTGTTAATATAATTAAAAGTGGAAAATATAGTAAACTACCAATGTTATATGGTTTCGTCAAAACAGAGGGATTAGTAAAGATAGAGACATTTAATCATTGGATCGAAGTAATGCGTGATAATTTCGATGTTTTCATGCCAACAGATCTCCATTTTAATTCCGACGAAGATAGGAAAATGGTAGCAAATACAGTGAAACAATTTTACTTCGGTGATACGGTTACAGATAAAAAAGTTATGGATTACGTTAACTTCTTCTCTGATGTACTCTTCACTTACTCCACCCTCAGATCTGTTAAGCTGCATTTAGAAGCTGGACATGATAAAATATATTTATACCAATATTCGTTTGTGCACGATGATCTACCAATCATACCGCATACGATGAAGCAACGTGGACCGTGTCATGGGGCGCAATCAGCTGATATAGCTGACGGAAACTTCACTCTTGGCGATGAGAGTCTTTTCCCGAAAGAGGCACAGGATATGAAGAAGATGATGCGGGAGCTTTGGTACAGCTTCATCACTACAGGGTAAGACATCAACTTGATGGCTTGAAGTCTTCCACAGTCCGCTTCACAAGACACTTTCTTTTGAGAACTAGCGAACTGTGCAATCAATGGGGGGTCTTCCCTGAGAAATACGACCTCAAACTATTCAAAGTTAGAGTGTAATCCCTCAAAGGCTAGTAACCCACCCAATAAATGGGTCATGCTGCGATGACTGCCCTTTTTGGGCATCCCATAGACAAACGTGTCTATTATAATAAAAAAAAAATGCAAATCGAAATTACGTCTTGAGAGTTTTTCTTTTGAAACTTGTAAAGTCTGTACTCAACCAGTTACTGTTATATTTAGTTAATTATAACAATAAAAATAACCAATTGAAACATAACACTGTAGCCTATTTTTATTTATTTAATATGATCTTTGATATGAATCTCTTTTAATCCTTTTAAAATGTTTACATCTTTGCAGGTTTATTTCTTATGTAGGTAATCTGATATGCTTACTTTTGATATTGTATATAAAATGGCCTAATCATCAGCTATTGTGACAGGTATCTTTCAGTCAAGTAGAGCAGGGTTGGCCTAGTGGCTCCAGCCTGCGACTCTCATTCCTGAGGTCGTAGGTTCGAACCCCAGCTGCACCAACGATCTTTATTCCTATGTGCGCATTTAACATTCGCTCGAACGGTAAAGGAATACATCGTGAGGAAACCGGCTTTAGACCCAAGGAGTGGATGGCGTGTGTCGCGCACAAGAGCCTGATCTCCAATTTGCCTATTAGATTGACACACATGAAATCGATACAGAAATCTGACAGATCTAAAAACGTTGTAGCGCCACTGATTTATTTATTTGTATCAATCCGTCAAAGTGCTTTGTTAAAACAGAAAATTTGTTTGATTCCAGACAACCAGTACCAGAAGGATCCGACTTACCTGCCTGGCCACCAGTTGGTAAAGATTTGTCTTATATGACAATTGACAATCCAATGCGACTGAATGATTCATTACTTAAAGAGCGGACTGAATTTTGGGACGAAATTTATTCGAAATACTACCACCAGCCATCTCAGCCTATAAAGTCACAATCTACGGATCATATAGAGTTATGACCACAAGAAATTAATTATAAAACTAATAAAAGTTTTAGCGTGAGTTATATAACCCAACATTAGATAAGTTACATATATAATTTAGTACATAATTAGAAGCGCAAACCAATTTATAATCAAATAATGTAAGCAATCATCGTACACTTGAAGCCAGAATGAGCACATTAGTTTTTCCCACACTCATATATCTTAATATATATAAATTACGTGTCACGTTGTTTGTCCGCCATGGACTCCTAAACTACCGAACCGATATCAATCAAATTTGCACACCGTGTGTAGTTTGATCCAACTTAAAAGATAGGATAGCTCACATCTCAATTTATACCCGCAATGTTATTTTATTTCAAAATATTTGTTTATAATTTGATAGTCACAATTCTAACAGATGGCGCTGTGTTGGAAGTACCAACGTTTCACATAAGCTACAATTTAATGGCATAACCACCAAAAAAGCATGGTAGTACCTATGACTGGTGTTCTCCTACCGTTTCCCTTGAATAGTTTGCTACTATGTAATATAACAAAAACCTTAGCCACATCAACGCTTGGCTGGTCTGCTAGTTGTAATATAAAATTCTCGTTTCCAATAATGGCCAATAGGTCGACTACACTTATATTATTTACAGGTAACAATAGTGTCACTTAAATTTAAGAACCCTTAAACAAGCCAAGTTAGTTTTTGGTAACGTCACAGCCCCACTACCCCTTATTTAATGTTGGTTAGTAAGCCCATGTTTTAAACGATAAAAGCCAGTTGACACCCAGCTTCAAAGAGTTTCATTTATTTGAACATGCCTCCAACTTAACTCGTGGATTTTCAAATTTAATTCGTCTGTAACATAGATGTCAAAGAACCTAATAATAATCGAAATCGTCGTGGGATTCGAGGTCGCAACAGTTACTAACCTTTTTGTTATTTTAACATTATGTCGTTAAAGTTTGACAGTTCACCTTGATGCCTAACATGTAATGTGAATAAATGAAATGGCGTATAAATAAGAATGACAAGCGACTCTCGATACTTGGAAACTCAAGGGACCAGAGATAAATTTCAAATTACCAAGAGTTCACAAGCGTTTATATAACGACGGGAGGGGCGACTTAAGTAAATAAGAGTTTGATCATTATTTCTATATTATTATTATGTTTTAACAATTATTCACATTTTTTTATTCCGAAAAGAAGTACGTAATCTTTAATTCAAAAAAACAATTGACAGGTAAACACTTCAAATTATAGAGAAGGCCGGACTTCATTGTCATATACCGAAGGACACATTAACATTAATTTTGTATTTATTTTAAAAAGACATTAACAAAACACATACAAACACTTATAGAGTGTGCACAACATTTAAAGGGAAATATTACAATGATAAAAGAAACAATAAAAATAAAAGACAATACTAGATTAAGAAATGCAAATATGCAATTAAAAAAATTAATATTTTTTACTTTGCAATTGTTATTATTGGTGACGGATCAACAGTGGCTGCAGCATCTTACGCCTGAAGACATGGAGACTGTCATAAAATGGATCAGCTTCGCCTGTACTCAAACCGTTGTTTACTGCAGATAGAGATCTGTTTAGAGGAGCATTACAATCGACGTTGGTTTTTTGAAGTTACTTACTTCAAAAAACCAACGAATACTTATTTAGGCGCGTTATGAAAAATTTATGAGACTGAAATTTTACGATGCGCGCGCACCGTGACACAAAATTATCAGTATGGGCGCCGAGCGTGCGCGAGCGAGATGGGAATAAGACAATCTACAAGTAAAAAGAAAAAGAATATGCGTGACGTTAGCAGCTATGCCAAGAATTTTGAATGACCATAATGACATTTGTAGTACCTTTTAAACAAATAAAGGAGTTTTCATAATTTTTTCAAAGAAATTTAGCAATGCTTTTTCACAAAGACCTATTGTTACTTAGTTAAAAGGTTATGAAACATACCTAGTTATTAAATTGAATTAATAATATAATAAAATAATAAATAATAATTATTATTAATATCAATTAATAATTGAAAAATATATTAAATATTGTTAAATTATTAACGCTAAATATTTATTATTAATTATTTAATATTTAAAAAAAATAAATAAAGCCAAAGAAGTGTAACTTCTTACGCGCGTACATAAGAACACGCACCATTTTTTTTTTTTATGTAATAGGAGGCAAACGTGCAGGTTGGTACTCACTGCCCGAACGTAAGACATGTGTTTCTTGTATTCTCTTTAAGAGGAAATTCACTTGACTTAAAACATTTGGTAAATCTACGAAGTTAAAATTTTGAAAACAAAGATAATGTCACTCAGGCGGCGTCGATCACGGAGTGAAAAGAGAAAGAAAGTTTTATTCAATTTATCAAGTATGTTTAAGGGACCGAAAAGAAATCAAATTACCAAGCTATTCAAATTAACGATTGTCAAATTCAAACTCAAAATAACTTTATTCATATAGGTAACCCAGTCTTAGGAACGTCAACAGAAAATATTCTAAACTAGCTGGCCTGGCGAACATCGTACCGCCTAACAGTCGATTGTTTATTTTTTCTAAATAATTAATCTGCTATTCGGGACAACGGTCTAGCTAGTAAAAAATAACCTTCCCGGGACCCCTCCACTAACACTTGAACTTTATGATATGGTATTAAAGTTCAAATTGCCTTTTAATATTATTACGAATATTTTGTATGGGAATATAGAAAAGTATTGTTTTTAGACTTTTCACTCAATTTTTATCAATTTTTCTCTCCTTAAGAACCAACTTCAAGGAATATTATAAAAAAAGAATCAGACAAATCGGTCAAGCCGTTTTCATGTTATGTCGTGACAACGGAAAACGGGTTTCATTTTTATATATATAGATTGATTCAAAATTTACTACCAGTTCGCAATTCAAGGCGTAGAGCGGGCAAGAAACTCTTTGCCATTCTTGTTAATCGCCAAGTTTTGAGTCATACAAATTGTTTGAACTGGAGGAAATCAATCCCAAGGATTAGGATCATTTAAATAATCGTCAAATTTATAAAAAGTTTTATGGACTAATTTACGTTTAGCGAGAGTTTTGAATTTATTCAGTGATAATTCTGTAATTTCGCTTGGGAGTTTGTTACAAAAACGAATACAATTTCCATAATATAAAGAGTGGTTTATCTTCCAGAGCGTGGTTGGTCGTACGCTTAGATTACTTCTGTTTCGAGTATTATACTGGTGAATATAATTAATAAAGTCGACTGTCTATTAACAAAGACAATATTATAGTATAATATATAGTAGAATAGACGAATCATTGCTATAGAAATACCGTAACTGTCGTCGTAATTACAAATTTGGATGAATGTCACAAGCTGTATTAAAATAAGAAATATTTACCTAATAATTCGAAATGTATAGAAAACCGCCGCCAGGTGTCGCTTTACTTTGACATCAGTTTGCATAACAGCTCTTCAGCTTCTGAAGATTATTTTATAAAATATTGAATGTAGATTTATTTGCCAATTAATTTACGTCGAAATTAAGTATGAAAAGAGCTCTTAGAATACATAGAGCGACCCCTTAGGGCCGAAACACATAACGCAAACTGCTTATTTTTGCGGCGCCGCAACGCCAAAATCGGCAGTTGCGTTGCCGCGTTGCGGCGTCGCGAAACAGGGCATTATGGTAGGGCAACCATTTTCTCGTGATTTTTGAGTGTGGATAGACGTCTCTCTGCGATGGATCGTAATAAACTTATTGCTTATTTGTTATTAAGAAGACATTATTCTATCTTAAAAATACGGCAAAGAAGATACTGGATACATCCATTAAGTAAGGGTATGAATCCAAATGGCGAGTTCTTTTCTAAAAAATACGAAGCATTAAAGATAGACGAAAAAAAATTTGTTGCCTACTTTAGAATGAGTATATCATCATTTGAAGAGCTATTAAGCGAGTTATCAAAATATATACAGAAGAAAAAAATAAAGGAAGAAAACCAGTTACTGCTTTGGAAATGCTGGGCTTAACTTTAAGGTAAAACAAATAGGTTTCTTATTTTTTTTTTATTGATGTTTATGGCACTCGGAATCAAATGTTTAGTTTTATTTGTACCCCTGGCTTTATACACCTGTGGTACTAGCGGGGTGTCGATAAAAATTTTGCATCACTAGTGTTCATGGTTTGGGGGTACCTAGTGGTACAAAGCCAGGTTCAAATGAAACAAGACAGAATCAAATTAAGCTTTTTGCATTATACAATTTTCCTACTTTAAGAATACTTTAATAGGCCTTAAAAAATGTAATGATCAATTTAAGAAAAATCAAACTCCTCATCTTGTGAAACATAGGAAGTAGCTGACGTTTCGTCCAGTAAAAATGGTGAATTTATTGGACGTTGTTGGTTTGATGATGAGGTAGTCCTCTGTTCAGTAATCGAACTTCCAGGAGTAGAAGTGTGGTAGCCACTCTGAACCGTATTATCGTATCTCATAGTTGAATATCCTTGATTGTAACCCTGATGCTGATATTCTTGATTATAGCCGTGATGTGTATTTTGATGAATTGAAGGTTGAAGAATGTCAGTTAATATTTGAAGCACCCGACTTTGAAATATCAATGTTTGATTCTCATTTAACGATTGTAGAGATGGTAAAATCCCCTTGAAAAAATGCAAATGTCTATTCTCCGGTGTTTTTAATATTGCCAATAAATCTTCTTCAATATCATCCTTATCATCTGCCTTTCGTTTTCGTGGTTGACTTTTATAACGAGGCAATGCCGTTATTTCATTCTCAATATCTCCTTCCGCTACGCATAAACTGGAATCAGTTGCATTTTGTGAAACCTTTTTCAAAAACTGTAATTGTTTATTCAAGTGATATTCTTTAATTTTTGCAGCTCCAGCTCCTGATCGATTGGCATCTTTTAGTTTTTTTGATATTTAGCAAAATTATCTTTTATGGCCTTCCACTTCTTGACTAAATCATTACCTGCAACAAAAAACTTCACAAGT